GTTTAAACCTTTACAAGCAGGCCCGGAGGATAATTGTCTCAATTCTCAAAGCAATATCAATATGTAGTAATTACTTGGGAAGCTGGAGATATGTATAAATTGCAAGTAAACGCTTGTAAACAGCAGAAAATCTTGGTACATGATGGGACAAAAATGCAGGAAGCTGTAAATGATGGTATTTACATATGGGGATTATACTGCTCTCATGGATGCAAACTTGGTGCAAGAAGTAAGAAAAAAGTAAAGTTTTGGCAGATGTTCCACTTAAATTCACACTTGCCATATATAAAATTAAAAATCACAAGCTGTTGTTGAAATGTGATTATTCGAGCCAGATAAACAACGTTTTTCTTTAGAAAACTTTGACAGTATAATTTTACCTTTTCTCAAGTTTTTTTATATAAACAATTCATTACGAAAATTTACCAGCTACATAGTTGCATAGTATTTGAGGTTGAATAAAGACACCGGTCCATCAAGTTCAAGCTATGTGTGTGATTGTGTATGTGTGTGTGTATACAAGTCCCCTTGTGATCCTGTTTAAGAGTACCTGTACCCCTGTATGTTGCGGTCTCTGAAGAAGGTATCTAGATGCTTTATGAATGATTCAATACTCTGAGCTGATACCACTGCTTGTGGCAGAGAGTTCCAGACCCTGATCGCTTTAACTGAGAAGAAGCCCCTATTTACTGTGATAAATTCTTTTCTCCACTAATTTTAGGTGGTGGCCTCTAGTCTTTGTTAAGGTCCCCACACACCTTACGATAATCGTACGATAATCACGGGAAATTCCGTGATCATACGATTATCGTAAGGTGTGTGGAAGCCGTGCGACCTCTACCACTGTAAGGTCACACGACTTTAAACTTACGGACATGTTCGAAAACCCGCCGAGCATCGTACGATGTTCGGCGGGTTTGTGGCATGTCCGTACGATAACAGCCCGTTCGGCATTGCAGTCATCGGAAGCCCACCCTTCAGGGGGCGTGGCTTGCAATCATTGCAAGTACGATCTGCCTATGCAACATAGGCAGATCGTACGTTTTTTTAAGTACCTTACAACCATCGCAAGACAAAAGTCTTGCAATGGTTGTAAGGTGTGTGCCCAGCCTTACGGAGTTTACAGTAAAAAGTTAATTGCTGATGTTGCCATCACCACTAAACATTTTGTACATCAAAATCATGTCACCTCTTAATCTTCTCACTTCTAGCATTAACATGTTTGCATTTAGTAACCTTGTCTCATAGCTTTGGTCCTCCAGCCCCTTAATTAGTTTAGTTGCCCTTCTCTGGACTCTCTCCAGCTCCAGGACATCGTTTCTGTGGATTGGTGACCAAAACTGGACCGCATACTCCAGATGAGGCCAAACCAGCAATCTATAAAGTGGCAAAATTATTGCTTTGTCTCTACAATACATTACATTCCCTTTTTAATACAAGACAGTACTCTGCTCGATTTGTTTGCCGCCACCTGGCATTGCAAGCTATTATTCAATCTGTGGTCTACTATGACCCCCAGATCTTTTTCCGTTTCTGACTTCCCTAGTGGAGTTCCCATTAATATGTATTCCTCTTGCCTATTATTAACCCCAAAGTGCATTACTTTGCATTTATCAACATTAAACCTCATCTGCCATATAGATGCCCACTCCCCTATTTTATCCAGGTCCTCCTGTAATGTTATGATGTCTAAGTCCGTGTCTATTACTGTCACGATTTTAGTAACCTCAGCAAAAACAGAAACATGACTATTGACGCCCTCCCCGATATCGTTAATAAACAGGTTATTATTATACAGGATTTATATAGCGCCAATAGTTTGCACAGCGCGTTACACTATAAGGAAGACATTACAATACAATTCAAGACAAGATGGAGGGCCCTGCCCGTGAGGGCTTACAATCTAAAAGGGAGGGGCAAGTGATACATGAGGAGGTAGCTTTGCCGGGATGATTGTTTGAGAAAGTGATTGTTCAGTGGTTAGGTTGAGGTGGGATAGGTTTTCCTGAAGAGATGAGTCTTAAGGGATTGCCTAAAGGCAGTCAGTGTGGGAGATAGACGGACAGGTTGGGGTAGAAAGTTCCATAGGATGGGAGAGACTCCAGTGAAATCCTGGAGGCGAGCATTGGAGGAGTTGATGAGGGAGCTGGAAAGCAGGCGGTCTTGTGAAGAGCGGAGGGAGCGGTTAGGGTAATACTTTGAGACCAGGTTTGAGATGTATCCGGAGGCAGAGTTGTGGATGGCTTTGTAAGCGGTTGTTAATATTTCGAATTTTATCCTTTGGGCGAGTGGAAGCCAGTGCAGGGATTGACAGAGGGGGGGTTGCAGACACTGAGCGGTTAGTTAGGTGAATGAGTCTAGCAGCTGCATTCATGATAGACTGAAGGGGGGGGAGATATCCTGTGTAGTGGAAGGCCAATGAGGAGGGAGTTGCAATAGTCCAGACGAGCGATAACAAGAGAGTGGATGAGTAATTTTGCAGTTTCCTTGATGAGGAAGCGGCATATTTTGGAGATGTCTTTGTTAAGGTCTAAGGCTAAACAATGGATGGGGGCAGGTCCAGGTATCAAGTAAAAACCATTGATGAATGAACTGCTAATGGAACTCAGGTAATAATGCAGCTGTGTAAAAGTCAGAAAGTTCCCTCTCTCATGGAAGGAAGGTGGGGGTTGCCCTTTCTAACCTTTCTTAAAATTATAGTTGCTGGTTTTTATTTAATCTGCTGAGGTATGTACTCCTTTTTTTGGGGGTCTCTAGGAGGGTCTGCAGGATCAGGAGGCATCACTTAGGATCTGTGACTGTTTTTTTCTAACATGTTTCAGGGACTGGAGTCTGAACCAGGAGGTGTTAAGCCTGGCTTACAGCAAGGGGGTGACACAGGCTGGACTTTAGCAGTATAGTGATGATCATATATAGTTTACAGGGGAGCCTGGAGGCAGGAAAATAACTCTGCAAGAAGCAGAACTCTGAATCGTGGTATGTCTGTGAAGGTTGTTATTCATCCAGGTCACAGCATATGTGACCTGGATACGTGGATAGAGAACTGGCTACGGGAACGTGTCCAGAGGGTATCTGTAAATGGCACCTTTTCAGACTGGGCTAGTGTAATGAGCGGGGTGCCTCAGGGTTCTGTGCTGGGTCCCATATTGTTCAACTTATTTATTAATGACATCGGGGAGGGTGTTAACAGCGAAGGTGAAGGCGGAACGATTTGGATAGTGATTGGATGTGGGGAAGAAAGGTGAGGTCTGAGTCAAGGATGACACCTAGGACCTTGGCATGGGGGAGGGCTGGATAGTTGTGTTAACAATCTCAAGTGAAAAGTTGGGGGAAGGTGCACGGGCAGGAGGAAATATCATGTTAATACAGGTTAAACAGTATTGGGCCTAGCACCGAACCCTGGGGCATGCCACTCTTGACTTTAGACCACTCTGAAAAAGAGCCATTTATCACTACTCTCTGGACACGTTCCTGTAGCCAGTTCTCTATCCATGTACACACTATTCCATCTATGCCCATAGATCTCAGCTTGTGTACAAAGCGTTTGTGCTATCGTATCAAATGCTTTCGACAAATCTAGATATACCACATCAACCTGCCTCTCTCCAGATCTCTACTCACCTCTTCGTAGAATGTTAGTAAGTTGGTCTGACAAAAATGGTCCTTCCGAAATCTGTGCTGATTATCATTTATTATACCAGCTATTGAACAAAACACATTTTACACGATTTTTAACAGTTTATATTGAAAAAAGATTTTGGGTACATACTTTTTGCAAATATGAGTTGAATCCATGCTGCCTTGTCAAGGCCCCTCTGTGATGTGTACGATCTTACGCAAGTCTAATGGATCCTCTATCTTGGCACATACATAGCAATGAATACATTCAGAGCAGGTACACCTGGAGGTACAGCATAGCATAATAATGACAGTTGAAGACATCCATTATGTCTGCACCAAATCAAGAAAACAACAAAAAAAATATAAACTGCTCCAATTCACTACTAGCTTTTTTAAACTAAGGTGCACACTGACAGTACATTTCACAGAACAATAAAAAAAATACTGTTACTCTTAGTCTGCAAAAAAAAATTCTATACTGTTTCAACAATTTTGTTAAAATCTGAGGTTTTATTTGCATACATTTGCAAATATACATGGGCACCACACTCCCTCATCAAAGCTATTCTGACTCTGATTGTTGTATTAGCGATTTATCCCTCGCTGAGACCTCTATGACTGGCCTGTATAAGCAGATATAATCACTGCGGACAATCCTTATCGGATAGCTGAACTCGCCAAATACCTTTTCATCCACAAATAGCTTTATTGTATGCAGCAGGACAACAGGATGCAGTAGATGATTAACAGACGGTATTTGCAGGTCAAGGATGATGTATGTTTCCCATATATGTGGCCCTGCTATAGGGAGCCATTGCACCAGAAATCGACTAGTTAGAGAAGAAGGGCGGTACATTACACACAAGGGGAGGGAATGCAGAAAAACATGGTGCAAGAACCAAAATTCCACAAGATTACAGTATATTAACCAGCTATACAACAGCTATAATACGCGGCTTAAGGAAAATTAACTATGTAAATTATCACTTCACATTAATATAAGTATTAACCATAACTATGCATTATGATATTTTATGCAATTATTGTGACAGCACAAAGGCCCCTCTCTAAACTGTGAAACTCCTAGTGTAACAGAGCTTTCATCTTGGAACATATGTAGCAATGAATAAATTGAGGGCATCGACAAACCCTGCACAAGGCATTGACCTCTTAGAAATTGGAGAAATTCTGCACAATTATTAGCAGTGTGCTCCTATGGGACTGATCACATTAAATAACCAATTGTTGCTCCTTGACTCTATACCTGAAATCAAAAGGGAAGCCATGTATACATGCTTGTGTGTGTATCTGTATTGTATTATTCGTTCCATATATGTGTTTGTTAGTGCATAACACTTTTTTTTTTTTTCGTCTTGCAGTGGATTTACTAGGCTTGTCTGCAGCCTGTGATGCCTTGGACCAGCACAACCTCAAGCAGAATGACCAGCTTATGGACATCCTTCAAATTATTAACTGCTTAACTACAATTTACGACCGACTGGAGCAAGAGCACAACAACCTGGTGAACGTCCCTCTTTGTGTGGACATGTGCCTGAACTGGCTCCTGAATGTTTATGACACGTGAGTGATGTTATACTGTGACCATAATCGGTGTCTGTGTGTACAGGGTAAAATGATGAAATGTCACCTTTTTTGTTCCTTTACACCAGCAGAAAAACAGCAGAAGGTTAAAGTTCACCTTATGAAGCTAAACGACTTTTCAGCATAAAATCACATAATATGCACTCTTGACTTCTCAAGCATAGTGTAAATGATTGCTTGCCCTGTCCTAACCTACTTCTGTCATAACACAATTTAATAGCTGATTATCCTTTTTGCAGGCACATGTGTAAAGATTTCAATAGAAATAACGGTATATAGAAAATAAATATACACACATAAGAGGGTTGTTTTAAATAATATTTAGTTCTAATAGCTTTACCAAATCTGTATGTATATCAACTACAGTTCAGAGGGGTTGAATAGTATGTCTGCCAATTTTTTTATATAAATCCTGTATATTAATAATAATAAAAAAGGAGAACTATAGAGCAACCTTTTTTGCCCATAGTTCTCCTCATGGTCACGGGAGGACATATACTGTGTCCTCCCGTGACCCAAAACTCAGCATATAGCGGGCTGCATGCTGAGATCTCTACAGCCAGGACGAATCCCGACAATACGGTCAAAATGCACCTAGGTGGCTGATTTACAGCCTTTTTTTCATTACAATGATTAAGACAGAGCGATAATGTTAGGTATTTCGTATTATTATCATAGAGTTAGTGTAATGCACACTTTTAATTTAAAGTGGCCCTGTCGCTTTACAAAGAATAATCCAAACCCAGCCTGTTAAAGAAGATCGGACATGCTCACGTTTCCTATTTCCTATTCTCTAGTTCTACTAAAGTCTCCACTGAAACCGACACTTTAGTCCCCCACAGACCTCACTGATTCCTCCCTGTGACCTCCAACCAATAAAAGGATACAGAAGTGATTCGGAGGTCAACAGGAAGAACCAGTGAGGGCTGCGGAAAGGACTGAGATGAATGCTCCCAAAAGAGACTGTTTTAGTGCAGACTTCAGCAGAAGATTTCTCGGCATCAGCGAGGAGTTTAGCAGCACATGCAGCATGTGAGTGGAGAGTATGCCCTGTCTTTTTTTTACATGCATGGCTTGTTTGTTTTTGTTTTTTTTTTGGTATAGCATTCGAGTCGTTTCAACAGTGGTATGTAATGCCAGTAAGTTGCAATCACAGAAGGGAGCACAAACCTTTGAAACCTGTACACACATAAAATACTAGTGTGTATATAGGGACACATCAGAACATGTGGTAATGTGTATGCATTTCTATTCATTAGATGAGATGGCAGTTTTTAAAACCTTCTTTTTTTTTTTCTTTAAAACCTTTGCATGTGTTTTTTGTACCCTAAGTTAAAACTCACTAATATAGCCTATAATAGGTAGAACCTGTTCAAAAACCCTATATTTAGTGATACCACTGTGTATTTTGCCAAAAAATCCTGCAAAATGCCCACTTGTCTACTGTGGCTGATCCATCATCCCCCATGCTAAACCATTGGGCATGATTAGGTTTTAATTTAAACATTCCTATGATGTCTCCACACCCTCATGAATGATATCCCAGCATTTAACAGTGTAAATCTGCTCAAGTAACAAAATCAAAGTAAGATAGTTACATTTCTGGTTTCACCTCATTGGCAACTTGGTCTAGCTGCGACTTTTTTCATTGTGTAAAAACAGACCTGCTGCCACAAGGGAACCATTCTTTTATACCACAGGCTGAGAACACTCGCAGATCCCAAGCCTTGCCTGGTCCTGACACAGGCAATCAATATCCAGTGCTTACAAATAAAGCACTCTGTGCGAAATGTGTTAAGGCATTTTCTCTTGATATCTGTTAACCTGTATAAATGATTTATATAATAAACTTATGGTTGAACAGAGAGCTACGTGGACCTATTCTTTGGATGTTGATTGCATCCCAATGAATCTCACTAAAGGACATGGCTAAATTTAGTGTTGTTGCTTATACTGATTCCTCATTATCAGTACAGACACTTCCAGTACCATACAAACTCTAGTTCCCCTGACAAGAAGAATAATGGGTTCAGTGTATCTATCCTTACAACTTGAGATTTTCTAAGAGAAGCTGAATGCTACAAAAACATTAAATCTAGCAGTAATACCCTGCAGATTTTAAATTCCTTCTCATTCATTCTTGTTCAGGATAACCCTTTTCTCAGGATTTATGTTTACCAATAGCCTGGATAATCTCAAATATGTAAAAACAGAATGTTTTCTATTCTACATTTAAAGTTTGGTTTTCTACTTAATGTGTTGTAAAATGCACAGCTGAAAGCATACAATATGTGTACTTTTTATGTGTAAATACTAGAATTTTTTTGTTTTTGCTCAAGAAGTTTACATGGTTGAGTTTTTGTTAATGTTTTCCAGTGTAACAATTGTAATGTTTTATGTTCAACAAGACACGTACCTGTGCTTTTGTTTTATTTGTTGCTGCTTTGTGTGTAAATCCTTCACTAAAATTCCAGCAAAGGGCAAATGTTACTGAACTGGGTGTTCATATTACTTTTAAATAAAATGTTTCCCTTTGATTTCTATTTAGGGGCCGCACTGGAAGAATTCGAGTGTTGTCTTTTAAAACTGGTATTATTTCCCTATGTAAAGCACATTTGGAAGACAAGTACAGATGTAAGTATCTCTTCTGTATTTACCAGTAAAGTAGTTAGTTATTTTTCTCTTGCATTTATTGCCCATACACTTGCCCATCCAATGTGCTGACCCAAACACTGGATGTCTGCGTCTTCAAAAAGTTTGGCCAGTTTGCAAAATGACAAATGCACTTCAGCTGAACTGGATAAAGCAGTCATGCATCACATACCTAGACAAATGTGGTCACTGAACTTGCCTATATTATACCATTTTAAATAATTGGTTGCAGAAATTGTTTGCAGCTCGTACCTTTTAATGGCTATCCATGTATAAAATATTCGAACCTGGGTATTTAGTATCCATAAGGAACTTTAGACCATATTGGGCTGGTCAAGTTGTCCTTTGACCATTTGACATACATTTTTGCAAACCATTTTTTTTATCATCTGGAGCCTATTTCGGGCCCTACACTAGTCAGTTAGGTCTAAAATTATATAAAGTGGACATGATATAATGAGTTGTGGTGCATATTTCAGTTGCATTAGCTAAAAATGGTTTAGTTAGAATAATTGGGGCCATTAATAGTCTTGCGTTTTTATGCAGCATTCCTTTTCCATCTTTCTATAAGCTCGCTGAGTGCTATTTTATTGTACAAATGATGTATATGCCCTGTATTAAACTTTATATGATTTTCCCACCAAGGATGTTTTATATAGTAGATGAGTTGACACTTTATTTGTTTTCTTTTGAAAATGGCATTAAAGCCATTGGGAAAGATTGCAGGTATATTACACACATTCATAACAACTACAGGTGCGATCTGCTGTCATTTTTCCACATCCGTTTGTGCTCAGACAAATTTTAAGTTGTAAACAAATCAGTAAATCAAAAGTGCTGAACCTGAAAACATGCTGAGGCCTGGGGACAAAAAAGCACCAAAACAACATGGTGTTAATGGAGGGAATTGGAAACAGCCTCCAGTGGGTGATAAAATGGCAGTGCAGAGAAGCACAGTAATTTGTCTGTGTCATGCTTGTGGATTGCATTGAAATTTTATTGGAAATTGTGCTTAATGGGAAAACTTTAAATGCTTATTTATTAAACAGCGTTGTCATTTTAAAGCAGGGGAAATGTCCTACTCTTAACCAGATGATCCTATGTTACTTTTGGCCAGTAAAAGACTAATATGGAAGAAGACTCTGCCCTTTTAACCAGCAAGAAGGTGTATGCCTTTTTTTGCTTCTGCTATATATTTCAGGGCAGTATATTATATTTAAAAATAGATGACTTGGTCAAACCTGATTAACGCTATGTAATTTGAACCTGTGGGTGGAAACTAGAGATGCACAGATCCTTTAACGCTTGCTCTGTGCACACATTTATCAAATTAGTAGATCAATCCATGGGTTTTAGATCAATTTATTTAGATCATGGGATGTAGTAGAAAGGGGACATTCATCATTGCAGGGGCTAGGAAGACAATTTAATAAGGAGATCACCAGCAGAGAGCCTGGGCATAATAGGATTTGCATCTGCACATCTAAATGTACTTATTTCCATTTCTTCTCTGTAATTGAACAAAGCCAGTGCTGCAATAGTTAGTTTATTAGGGAGGTAAAATGTACCAGTTACGTCTGGCAGCCTGGGGCTGTGCCCTTCATACAGTAAGAGTATAATCATATCAGTTTGGAAATTATATTTATAGAATCTACAAGATTTTTGATAGGTCAAGAAACAAATATGTAAGTGAAAATGCATGCATAGACTTCTGGTTCTCTGCACCCTTGTTGGGTTCTTGCATGTAATTGAATCTCTTTTACTATGTTAGGGGCTTCCTATGAACCATTATATGAAAAGTAAATCTAAAACAATCACTGCAAACACTGATTTATATTCTACTAGATTACATTAGGAGTCCACTATTACTACCCAGTCTTCTGCTCTATTGCATGTAAACACATACATAAAGCCCTTTTGTTTCTTGGAGTTCCCAAAACACTTCATAGGAATAAGTAGGATTTCACATAGAACATGTACATTCATACTACTAGAGGTTATAAGCAGCCCGTGACATGCAACCATGTTTAAACAATTGATGGTCAGTGATTGTGCTTTGTGTACATTACGTTGTTTTTATCATTTTCAAGCAGTGCTGTACAAATGAAACACGGAAACTGAACAGGTTTTAGCAAAGGAAACCGAAAAAAAAAAGCAATGGTTTTCCTATTCCAGGCTTTGTTTAATCTGTTGTGTATGCATTTAAACCTGGTTAGCAAAGCTATGAAGGAAGAAAAATACAATAATAGCAAAAAATGCCACTTGACTGAAAGCAACATCTGATCCTTTAGGGCTGATTCCCACCAGCCTGGTCTGCTTCATTGCGTTAAATGCACATACGTTAACATGCATTGTGTTAGGGCAGCCCATTTATTTGAGTAAGCTGCCCCACACACATCCTGCCCCTGTGACACCTGTATTGGATATGGGGGTGTAGTTGTCACCAGATATGCACGTACTGCAATAAAAACACTGTCAGAAGTTATAACCTTTCCCCAAGCTACTAAAAATGTGTTTAGTTTGTGTACCTGCTTGGATAGGTTTCTCATAAGTTCCTGTTTTGACAGTGACGGAAATCTTCCCATTTGGGACACAGACGGCAATGAAAACCTAAAGAACATTCTAACCTTTTCATGCTGTATCCAAAACAAAATGAAATATGTTGTCTGGAATTCAGCTTTAATGTTATCTTCGTTTAACTTAACATATTTGGGCTTTCAAAGGGCATAAAGTACTCCATAACTCTAGTACTTCAGATGAGGTGGTGGACCAAACCTATTTGGATTTGCAATCAAGTCATTGTTTTGGGCTGATTAGCCAGCCTACATATCTGGTTTGTGGCGCAGCAGCAGGTCATTACTGTAATACCCAGTAAACTACCTAGGTAAAGTAAAAGGCCAAGGGCAATATGCTTTGAGCTAGATACTAGATGTCAGAAAACATGTCATATTACAATTGGTAAGCTGCAGCAGCGCTCAGTAATCGTGTCCATGCACCATCCTCTATAGCCTGGTGGAATTTTCTGTCCTCAGGAATCACCTATATGACCTAGATAACATGCAGCAAAATATGTTCTGTACTTGGTCAGTTAGACTGGACCATTGCCTAACGGGGAGGAGGGTGTTCTTCAAGCTTTACTATTGATTTTGAAAGCTGGTCATCTATGAGAATTTTTACTCTGACATCTACTCAATTGAATATTTTAGAAACACGGGACTATTGGAACACTTTGATAGACACCCAGCAATAAGCTGTCTTACAAAAGAAAAATCTATCACTAGGAATTGACATTTTGCTACTCATTAAATTCTTTATCAATGCTAAAGGACGTGTAATGGCCCACCTCTGTAATTAAAAAAAAAAACCCTCATTTTCTGTATGTTGCTTTCACTTTAGGAACTATATAGTAATGGAAAGTAGAACATTAATTTCTTCAGTAACCAATTGTATTTGTCTGAGCAATTTTATTTTACCCATGGCATGCTTAATCCTCTGCTCTGTTATTAGTGACATAAAGAAATGACATATGTTTCACTTTGCAGCACAGGTTTAGGGTGAAACTTTTAAGCACGACTGTATCATAGTAACATTGACATAATGTTTTAAAAATTGGAAAGAAATGTAACTGTTCTTGGTAACTCAGATAAGTAAAAGTTATTCAAGCAGTTTCTTTTACTCTAGCTACTGTGAGACAGATTGCATTGTCATTTTTTAATACTATTTAAAATGAGATTCTCACTGGGGGACATGACTCATTTTGTGGCTCATGCTCATTTGGACCTTCTCACCGAGCTATTCTTGGGATTTTTATTAAATATGATTTAAACAATGATAGATGCCAATAACTTAGGTCACTTAGAAGTTATTTCAAAGAAAACTGTGGGTACTTATTTTTTTTTTTTTTCATGCGTGGGTGCAAACAAAATTGTCTACAACTGTATGTGGTGGGAGGACATTAGATTACGAAAATAATTAGATATAGACCTGCCAGATGCTTTGGGCCCATTTCTACTATTCTTGCCCCCCAATGTCTACTATATAGTATACAAAAATGTGCGTTACCACCTATTCTGAATGTAGCTAAATTCCTGATACCCCTTTTTTGGAAGAAGACTAAGTTAACAACTAGAACTGACTGAGTCAGAACAGTAAATTAATCCAGTGGAAGCTGAACAATGGGTAGCAAGTAAAGACTAATGTGATCAATTTTTCTGCATCTGGGCCACTTGGCTTCACCATAACCCCCTGCCATGACTCCTCCAGATGCCCTGGGATTCTCTCTCTCTGGACCCATATGGGATTTTGGTTGTCTTGAGAGATTACCCACTCTGCTCCGCTACGGCCTAACTAACATAAATTAGATGTAAAATAGTAATGTCTCCAAAAAAGGGTCATATAATGCCATATAGGAAGATATAGGTAGAGGGAAGTGGCTTCATTCTTGTAATACATGGATTGTTCCCTCCTTCCTAGAAGGAGTTCAGCTATAGTTCTTTTATATACTTAAACATGCTGCTTCAAAGATTGGAACTTACTGGAAAGCTAGGCACAGAATATCCAGCTTATAAAAAAAAAGTTCCTGTTTTTACATGAAACTGGCTGTGCTAAAATAAGTATGTTTTTTTATTATTATTATTTTACACTTCATTTGAGCTTACCACACTTTGTTTTGCAGACCTGTTCAAGCAAGTGGCAAGCTCTACTGGATTTTGTGACCAGCGGAGACTGGGCCTTCTCCTACATGATGCCATTCAGATTCCACGGCAGCTGGGTGAAGTGGCTTCCTTCGGTGGAAGTAACATAGAGCCCAGTGTCAGGAGCTGCTTTCAGTATGTAAGTAATTAATTTTTAATCTCTAAGTCAAAGCTATTTGTAAGAACTCAAATATGGAAGATGACATAAATGACCGTTAACCTGATCTTTGGTTCACTACCTTGTGAGTCACCAACTTTAAACAAACGGAGTCCAGACCTCTAAGACTTGTGCAGGGTCAGTGACCCATTAAACACTTTTACAAATGTCAGCAGTGGTAGGTTCTATATATTTTCCCCTGACAGTTTTTTTTTACATTTATATAGTAAATTCATTAGTAGACGTAAACAGGCTGTTTTCTTTATGTGCATTGCTGCTAGAATTTCACGTCATAGGTCACTAATCTCTTTCTTGGCAAGACATTCTGTTTTTCTTTTTTTTCCCTTTTTTTTACTTTTTACTTTATAGCAAAATAAATCTCGAGAACAGCAGGGTTCCAGCAAACTTAAGCTTCTTAAAGATGGCAAGGATTTAAAGATTTGTTTGTGATGAAAAATGGATATCTATAGAGCAGGGCTGTGTTGATTAAGGGTGTATATTCAAGGTTTTTGTCTAAGTAAGTTTAGTAATTACTTGGAAAATGGAAAAAAAAGGTGTTCCAATGCAAGTAATCCTATTAAGTCCTTTTTAAATGATGTAAAGGATTGGAGTTTGGCATTAAGCACATTGACCATTGTTGTGCTGTGGACTGATGGTTTGCCATAGGCTCCTTTTCAATCGGTGTTCTGTTCAGATCTGTCTGTCAGTTTTTTCAGATGGATCTGATTGGAAGTGCAACATTAGTCTATGGACCGAATACCCCAGAGTCCATCTAGAGTTCTGTTTTTACAGACCTGAACGTGACGGATCAGAGGTAATTGAATGTAAACCAATACATGTATGCATACATCTGACTGCCCATAGGCTTAACATGGGTCTGTTTCGTTCCGTTTTTTCCTCCATTGCAATATGGAGAAAGAAAACTGAACAAACACGAATGTCAGAAAGGGATATCCATTCTGTATTGCTCCGATCATCAGACAGGCGCCCATGTGAAAGGGTCATAATGGTTCAAGTCTTTTGATGTCTTGTACATGCAAGGGCCAACTCTCACATTGATGACCTTTTTATGTGAGACCTTTTATGTATTTTGGTAAAGTTATTGTACACCTTAGAGACTGACACTTCTCAAACAACCTTGGGGGAGGAGGATATAAACATGAATACTCAGCTGAAAATGTTGCGCTTGTACATGATTATGGTTGGTTCTTTCCCATGCTATCTCATGTTTGCAGCTAGCCTGACTTGTACTTCAACACTGGTAAAAAAATGTATTGAGGTCAGATTGTAACAGAAGTATAAGTTCATGTTTATAGCTATTAATGAATATGTGACAGCAATAGACAACGTTCCCATCAAGGTGTAAAAGTCTATCTCCTCTCCTCTCATTAGAAAACAAGGGGTCTTTTTTTCTATTAAAGAAAATTGCAGTCTCTAATTCTTCGCTTTTTGGTTGATTTTCTATTCTTTCTGAAAAAGAAGCTATAGGACTTTCTGATCTGGGTGCCAAATCTTGCCCCTTTTGCCTCCTGCACATACCTATTGGCCAGTGAGGCTGTCACTCATATGGGCTGACAGAAATGGATGGGGGGGGAGCAGGAGACCGTGGCCAGCTCTGCCACTATCTGGTTTTATTGAAGTTTCCCTGTCAGAATGGCTGTGCTATAGACAACAGGGTTTTGGAGGCTGCTCTAGGTATGTGCACAACGTGGTACCTTCACTTTATAGCTGCAGCAGTATTTTTGGGTTTTTTTCTGGCAAAGCAGTCCAGTTTTATTTACTTGCTGCTTTCTAGTAATTCTGTATAACCAGATTTGTAACTGAGCAGCTAAATTTGTGTCGAGCCAGTACTTGCAGAAATTTTCTAGATTTGGTTAAATTGATCTACAGGGAATCTGATTTTGTATGTGGTGCATGTTTAGCTTTCTTTAACCTCTAATGATTTGTCCTTAACACTTCCCTTGGGGACTGGGAAGTATTTCATAGTGTAGTAACTATCAGGCAAAATGCAGGTCTTTGGCATAAGTGCTGTAATTGTTTTTGCAGTAAACGAAGGACAAAGTGGAGTTGGCATTAGGCTTTTCATTCCTTCTTTTTTTGTTTTGTTTTGTTTTGTTAATAATCTGACTTTTCACTTTTTTTTTTTTTTTCTTTCTTTTTCTTTCTTTTTTACTTAACGTGACCCTATTGGCATAAACCACCATTAGCTGCTTTTATGCCTCCCATCATCCACCAAATCACCACTATATTCAGTATAACCAGGCCACTTTATGGCAGAACCTTACTGCTTTTGGGGTGGATGGCATCTTGCAATAATGTGCAAGCATGCACAGGATACCTTGCATTGTATCTGCCAATAATCCCTACCACCTTGCAATTCTTTATTTAGGAAACTAAGTTCCACTTTAAGCTATCAATCTAACTGTTCTATTATGTTTTTAAAGAATTGTAGAAATTGTGATGTTTGTGGACTGAAAAATTAGATAAAGTTATATAAAATAATAATATATGTGAAAAGCTGGCAATTTTTCATTAGTTCCACAGTGATTTTAAAGCTTACCACACACATTACAACCTTTTTCCCCCCAAATAATTACATTTTTTTCTCTGGTTGTGAGATATCAGGTGGACTGTAATGTGTGTGGACAGCTTTAGACATAATTTCTAACTTTTGTAAACCATAGGAATGAGAAGTTTAAATAGCTTTGTGTGCCTTGGGGTAAATAACTTGTGTACATATTTGCAGTTTTATACAGTACCATAGATTGGTTAGAGAAAATTTACTTTTTTGGACTATTGTATTATTTATTTATACAGATAACGCTGAGTAGACCGTTTACATTTGGTATCATTTGCTTATTTTCTCATAGGCTGGTTTGTATATTTGACAACATTGGTTTAGTACAGCAGGTGATCAGCCCTTGTTTTCTACTTTAGTGCATTAATTATTCGGTTTGCAGTCATTCCTATTTGGTGCGTGGGTTGAGATGTACTGGCAGACCTCACACTGGAGGCTTGTACTGCTCTCTACTCTAAAATACTGAGCAGTTTTGTAGTGCCGTGTCCTATTATACAAGAGCAGGTCCTCGCTGGAGGGAATACCAGAGCTGTGCTTACAATATGCTATGAAACAAATCTCATCCTTCTTGGGAATATAATACAGACTCAATTTTTACCAGTGACCCAGGGCAAGCTATTTTATCTCACCGTGCCTCAGTTTACTAAAGTGTAATTGGGTGAGAAGTAATAACTGTAATAACAGCATTGCTTCATCCGAAGCCCTTCTCCCCATCAGATTTGCCACTCAGAGTAAATGTTTGCTTGCATATAGATTTGTGCTTTCCTTGTAGAACTGCAAAAGTGAATATATATCAAATGTTGAAGACAAGACTGTCTTATTAAATACATAAATATTTGTTCTTGAAAGAAGATCCTTTAAGGTATTTAAAGGAAAATGGCTTTTGTTTCCTTGTCTCATATTTGTAATTTATCTGCTAATATGTAAGGGTGACCACAGATAGGCAGAGCTCATTGAGAACAGCAAGGCCTACGTCTCTACCTTCTAACTCAGCCAAAGAACAGAAGTGGTGCATGTGTGGTTAACATCTAAATATCCTTTATAAACAAAAGGGAGGGTTTGAGCTTGATTTAGAATTATTTTTAGCAGTCTGAAAATCTGTGAGATCATTAGAACTTCCATTCATAAAAAGCAATTGTTATTGTCCCTTAGGAGAGTGCTACACAAGCTGATCCTTAAGTAATTGCAAGCATTTCTCCAGTCAGCGTAATAACTTGCAGTGGTAAGTCTGTGTATGGCTACATTTGGTAGTACTATGTGAACTCATCTGCTAGTCAATAAACCCTCACATTAGATTTCTCCCTTACAATCTTTAAAAGCAGACTATAAACTACCCATACACGTCTTTTGTGAATAAGGTATTTTTTTGTTTGTTTTTTCCTCCAAACATACACATGCACTGTTTAAGTGCACTTTACAGTGTGAGCCACTACAATAGACATAATGCTTCATATATAATAAAAATCCGGAATGCTGGCAAAAATGACGAACCTTTATTGTAGTCTAACATAAATCATCTAATGTGAGCATCAAAATTGGTCACTGTATTACTTTGAGATACAATATGTGGCCACTCCTTCAAACTATTAATGCCTTGCAAATACAATTGTGTACCTCACGTTTTGTGGCAATAGGTTGGGGTAGATCATTTTCTGTGACTGTGCCTCTATGCCTAAAGCCTAGTCTATAAAAACATGACCTCAACCTTATTAAACACCTTCAGGTTTAATTGGAATGCCGATTAGCAACTAGGCCTTTCGTCCAGCATTAGTACCTGACCATACAAATGCTTATTTAGCTGAATGGTTACGTATTTCCACAGACACACTCCATACATTCCAAAATTCTGTGGAAAGCCTTCCCAGAAGTATAGATGCTGTTACAGCCACAAACTGTGTGTGTGCGCGTGCTGGTGTGTGTGTGTGCGGGGGTGGTGGTTTGAGAGAACTCACTCCTATTAGTGCCTGTCTATGGAATTGGTTGGTTGTCCAAAACCTTTTGGACATATAGTGCATCTGTCAAGCACTGCCCTCTACAGAAAGAAACAGTCATATTGCTCAATGCATACTAATGCTGCCATATTATGCTGCTTTCAATTTGGGAGGTGGGGAATTTTAGTATACAAGTACTAGTTGCACTGTAGCCTAGCTAATGTAAAAGTCTTAACATTTTGAAATTATTTGCCAATAAACAAGTGGTTCTTTGACTAGAGAAGTAAAACTTTGCTTATATTCTCTTTATCTTGTACGGATGAAGGAAAAAAGAAAGTGATGCTTAAAGCACTAAAAAATAAACTTTGTGCCCATACAGTTTGCCCCTGGACAAATTAATATTAATATGCCTAGATAATCATTAGCTCATGTATAATAAAATATATGTGCAGAAAGAAATATACCTCATTTCC